ATTTTGAAGTCATGGTCCTTTGCTACTTAAATGTTGATCGTGTTGTATGCAAGTTTTCACAAAATCGTTTGTTTTTGGGCACTCGATTATAAACGCAAAAATGAGAGACTTGAAATTTAGGGCAAATTCATATTTTCATTGTACTCATTTCAATATTGAAAACGTAAAATATTGGCCGACTGGAAGTGGTACTCACATAGAAGGTTCAGTTAGACGCTGTAAATTATGGGGTATGTGGTTGAAAGATGTCTTCCAGTAAAGTTCTACAGTTTATGTTTGACAATCACTTTTGTTCCATCATTGGTTCTTTATGGGCTCTGATCCTCAGAAAAATCTTGCAAAACATAAAATACTTTCATAATAGAGTTAAGATAAAGTTAACTTAAAATAGATGGGTATAGGTATTCAATTTGCACATAGAACAAAATTAACTTTTTTACTTGCTAAAGTTATATTTCATCAAAACCAAAAAATTTCATTTGGCCAAAAATCTTTTTTTTGGGACAAAAATTTTAATACTTTTAATATAAATACATATTTCTAGGCTAGAAATCTTCAGCGAGACAGCAAACTTATTTAATTGTAGTGAAATGAGTTTCATAATGATTTCATTAAAAATTTAACACAAAAATCATGCGAAAATATTTGCATATTAATATTTATGAGTAAGTATTTTAAAATTTCTAGAAATTATGTAAACAGTTGGATAAACAAAAAACAAATTGAAATTGAAAACAAAATAGTTTTCCAAATTTTGTTGTAAATATAATAAAATGTGATAAAAGAAAATAAAAAACATTTCGTAATTTTTGAATTTGATGTATTATTCTCGTATATCCAAATCCAATATGCTTTTTAGCACTTTTCCAAAAAATTTTTGAAAAAAAGTGCTTATTAGTTTCACTCTGTCCGTCCGTCCGTCCTTCCGACCGTCCGTCCGTCCGTCCGTCCGTCCGTCCGTCCGTCCGTCCGTCCGTCCGTCCGTCCGTCCGTCCGTCTGTCCGTGTGTCTGTTTACAAAACTTCTACACCCTTGAAGATTGGAAGCTGAAATTTTATATGTACATAGATCTTTACTAGAAACTTATTTCCGTAGAACAAAATTTTTACCTATCTCACCCCCTTTAGAAGTTATCCCCCCCAAAACCTTAAAAATGGCCTTTTTTAACTATTTGCTGCAATGAAACCATAAGCATTTTTGAAATTCTGCAAACGCAGAAAGGCACTGGCTTGCTTCCCCTATCGCGGTATACTAAAGTTAAATTTTAGAAAAACAAAATGGTCGTTCAAATTTACCGTTATCTAAAGTCTTTTTTTTCCAAATTTTTGATTTCGTTTTTCTTCTAGACCCCAGCCTGTAGAAGCTTGAAATTTTAGGGGCTTATAGACATTAACAAATAGTTCATTTCGTTAGAAGAAATTTTTTTTCCATCTCCACCCCCTCTCAAGTTATCGCCTCTTGAAATTTGTAAAATTTGAATTTTTGGCGCCTTATATTTGCAAAACCGCAAACGCTTTCAAATTTCTATAAACATAAAAAGTTAGCGGGAAATTCCGTGACATTAAAAAATATAATTATTTTTCTTAACTCACACAATTAACCCTTAAAATCGAGCATTATGTTAACTTCTCTTTATATTAATTTTTGCTTTATTTCAAAGACTGCATGAATGCATCATCCTAAATATATGCAATCCTAGAAATAGTTAAATATGAATGAAAATATGTAATTTTAATAGCGTGATAGGTATGCATAGACTGTATTTAAAAGCAGAATTTTCACTTGTTGAAGGGAAAAGTGCTACAATACAAACCATTGGTTTGACCCAACTTTATTGTTTATTAGAGCATGCGCAAAACTTTATAATAATTGTAATTGAAATGAGTACTTCATAGAAATGGCTGAAACCACACGATTCATCTTTCTCCACCAAAATTTTTATTTTTGAATCTATTCTACACTGTTCATCAAAAATTAAATTCTTTTTTGTATGAATGTGTATTTGAAATAAAATTTTAAAGAAGTATATAGAATAAAAGCTAATAAAATTGGGTCGAACTAATTTTTTGTATTGTAGCAATTTTCCCTTCAACAAGTTAAAATACTGCTTTCAAATACAGTCTATGTATACCTACCACACTATTAAAATTATTTTCATTCATAAACGAAACTATTTCTAGGACTGCATATATTTAGGATGAATGATTTATGCAGTCTTTGAAATAAAGCAAAAATTAATATAAACAGAGGTTAACACAATGCGCGATTTTAAGGGTTGATTGCGTGAGCTCCGAAAAATAGTTATATTTTTTATAATATTTTTTATAATTTCTTTTTTGTCATGGAATTTACCGTTAGCTTTCTGCATTTATAGAAATTTGAAAAAGCTTGCGGTTTCGGAAATATAAGGTGTCAAAAATTCAAATTTTACAAATTTCAAGAGGCGATAACTTGCGAGGGGGTGGAGATGGAAAAAAATTTTCTTCTAGCGAAATAAACTATTTATTAGTATCTAAAAGCTGCTATAATTTCAGGCTCCTACAACCTCGGGTTTAGAAGAAAAACGACATCAAAAATTTTGAAAAAATGGATTTTAGATAACGGTTATTTTGAACGGTCGTTTTGTTTTTTTTAAGTTTAACTTTAGTGTTCCACGATAGAAGAAGCAAGTCACTGTCTTTCTGCGTTTGCAAAATTTAAAAAATGCTTATGGTTTCACTGCAATAAAAAATTAAAATTGGCATTTTTAGGGTTTTGGGGGAGGTGGTATAACTTTCAGAGGGGGTGAGATAGGTAAACATTTTGTTCTACGGAAACAAGTTTCTAGTAAAGATCTATGTACATATAAAATTTCAGCTTTCTATCTTCAAGGGTGTAGAAGTTTTGTAAACAGAAACACGGACAGACGGACGGACGGACGGGCAGACGGACGGACAGAGTGAAGCTAATAAGCACTTTTTTCAAAAATTTTTTGGAAAAGTCCTAAAAAGTAGGCGATTTTTTAAAAATAAAAAGAAGCGATAAATAATTCCTTCCATTAAGGAAATGAATGCATAATTTTTGTTCTTTTTTCGTAATAATTAGTATCAGGGTTCCTTTTTTTTTGTCTGTCCATTTTTGAATTTTCATCTAAATTAGTTTAGATAGGTAAAAAATTTAACTTGTGTAATGTACATGTATTTCAGAAATTTATGCCTCTTTTTAGATCAAATATTGTATTCAAAAAACAATTTCTATTTTATATTATTCTTTGTATTGTCATTAAAAAACAATATTGCAAATTGGGCTTATAAAACCTATCTGTGTTCATAGTCTTGTAATCAAAAATTCATTACATATAAAGAATATTTTTGTGTTGCTTTTCCGTTTGTTATTGTACTCTAGCTATATTTGCATCGTTCAAACTCGAATGAATAAATGACAAAAAAAAAACAAACAGAACAATATTTCTTTGTGTTAGTAGATTCAAACATTCAACTCAAAAAATTTTAAGATTCAAAATTTTTCAAGATTCAAAAAAGAAGACAGAAATTTATAACTACAAAACTACAAATGTAGCATATGCGAAAGAGGGACTTTCAAGTAATGAAAGAAGATGAAGACTCATGCGCCCATACGGAATGATTGTATATTATGCCTATACTCTAGTATAGGCATATATTGAAATGTTTATGTAAAAAAAAGGTTTCCAGCTTATAACCTCTCATGTACATACTCGTAAGTATCAAATCGATTATTGTATTTTCGATAACAAGCTTAATAAGTAAAATTTCAGTTCTCTGAAGTTTGAGAACTGAAATTTTACTTACTTCGAGAGGCTATAATTTGGAATGTGACGAAAAAAGTTCTCATCTAAAGAAGTAAATTGATTATCAAAGTCTAGAAATTTCTAAAATTTCATACTTCTTCAAAATAATATCTAAGAGATAAACGATATTAAAAATGTAAAAAAATCGAGTTTTAGGTAAATTTGATATCAGGGGTCATTTTTTCAAAATTATCATGTTTGGTTAGCTATTTCCCAATAGTATAGAAGCAAGTCACTATTTTTCTTTATGATTTTCTTAATTTAAAATAGTTTGCTGTTTCAATATAATAAACTGTTAACAAAGGGTATTTTTAGAACTCTTAGGTTTAGTAACTTCTAAAAAGGTCTTATTGTGTATAAAATTTAAGCTTTCTTTCGAAAAGTGTTTAGAAGAAGTTACCCTTTTTCCAATTTCACTGGAACTTTTAATTAGCGAAGTAAAAAAATGTTAATATACTACCTGCATAATAATAATCGAAGATATTTTGCCAAATATTTTTCAGAACTTTTTACGAGAGGTAACTGGAATCTAGCGAGACCAGCTTTCAAGAAACTTCTCAAATAAACTTGAACAGGATCTTTTCGACAATATGTTGTCCAAATATAACTTTTTATTAACGATCCTTATAGAATCTTCTTGAGAACTAATTTTCAAAAAATTTCTCCGAACAAAAGCATCGCAAAACTCTTCAATACTTTTCAATATGGTTGCGATATAGCTATAGTTTTGTTAACTTTCTTACAGCTTTTTTTACAGCTTTTTTAGGACGAAGCGCGGAGAGCCGATTTTCAAAAAAATTCCCGAATTAAATTTGTAGACCATAGGTTCTACAATTTCACGAAATTTTTACCACCGTAGTTTGAAACTTTCAACTGATCAAAAGGGAAATATGGATTGTATGCCGTTCTGGTTCTGAACCAAATATTATATACTCTTTTATAAACTCATATTATTAAGTTATGTTAATATAATTCTCTATCAAATATATGCATCATTTTTCCTGAAGATTTTTAAAACTTTTTCAGTTATATATGGTAACCCTGTATAATAAATGCGATTCATGTATACATTTATACGTATTTACATAAAATACAAAATGATATATAACATTAAATTAGTGTAACGAATAGAGAATACTTTATTATTTTCTATTTGAAATTTTGAAATATTCGTGGAAAACTTTTGTATTCAAATAATAATATAAAAAAAAAAACAAAAAATTAATATTAAAAAATTTTAGAAATTTTTATATACGAAATTAAGAAGGATAAATATTTAAAATTAATATGCATATATACATATGTGTAAATATATATTATACATTTGTATAAAATAATTGATTACATATTAAAAAATTATATTGTGTGTATACATATACATTGTTCTTCCTCCCCTTTCCTCAAAAATTTGTAACGCCCCCTCTTATAAACGCGATTACAAATTATTGTAAAGTGTATAGTGTGTGTAAAAAAATATTTTGTGAGTCAAAAATATTCTTTAAAAAAAAAGAGCAAAAAAATAAATAAATAAAATTATAATATAAAATAATTTCCGAATACCAATTGTATAACAGTTTTATAATTTTTTTAGATATAAAAAATATATACATGTATACATATATTTCCTTTAATAATCAAAAGATATGAAATATATTATAAAACATGTATCTTTAAAGTAATAATTGCTCTATATATTAAATAAAAGTTTATGTATCTATACAATTTTACTATATAATAATAATAATTTTTTTTCTTCTCCTTATTCCTCGACTTGGGAGCATAAGACTTTCCATCTGATTTTTGTGGAGCCACGCATGGGTTTGTTTCATAAGTTAACTAGGCAGGCAGCCGTAGTTTCTTTCTTTATATTGCACATTAATATTTAAAGTTGTTGATAATTCATTTTTGATTCAATATATAATGTTAAAGTTTATATGGAGATTAATTTTAGTACTAATTTCTTTATTAAACTATATAATACTGAATACCATTTTTGTAGTCAACTGACTAGAGTATAAACCTGAGACCCTTTGGTTGAAAATTAAATAAACTAAAATAATGTAAAAAATTCAAGAGGTGATTTATGTTCGTGCATAAAAGTTAAAATTACTTACAAATATTTAATTAATAATTTGTCAAAAAACAAAACCAAAAACAAGTTAAAAACTCGAAAAAGAAAATTTTAAAAGTTCTGAAAAATTTGTAAAATCCTTTTGATTTTTTGTTCTTTACAAAAAGGATTTTAAGAAAAATCCTTTTTGTAAAGAATATAGGTAAATTTATACGTACATATGCATATGTATAATTTATTTGATTATATTATTATAATAATGTTCTCATTCTAAATATTAACGTTATAAATAAATATGCGTCTAAAATAAAGTAACACCATGTTTTCTTTTTCTTTAAATAACCGCCTATAAATATTTTGCACGGTGTAGATTTGTGATTTATACGACATTACAACCAAGAAGAACCAAGAACAAAACATTTGCAATCATATAAGATATTCATATCAGTATCAAATTCTATAGACGACCAATGAAGAACTTTAAGTGGAGAACGCAAACAACTATGGACTATAAATTTGGCACTGTTGCATATTTTTACGTATGCAGATCAGTATTAAAAATAAGTGAAATCGGCTCATATGAAACTATTTTTATTTTTTGGTACCGGAGCCTAGAAAGGTCCAATTTGTAAAAACAAGTGAAAAAATCACTAAACATGGTTATGCAGCATATCGTTCTTTCCAATCTTAACAATTTTTTGTTGGCAAAATTTTTAAAAATCGCTCATGCAAAGTCCCAAGTTTCGAAATGAAAAAATTTCGAAATGATGTATTATGTCAGTTGATAATATAATACTTTCTATAATTAAACTCTACATAAGAAAATTATATTGTGTAACATAATGAATCCTATTGCTCTCGTATAAGCAAGTTTTGCACGCAAACTTTACAATATTTTCTAAAAGATATGAAAATAGTAATAGCGCAATAAAGTTTCAATGCTATATACCAATTTAAAAATATTTATAAAAAATAGCTTTTAAAAATATGTTAACTTATATATACATAATATGTATACATTTGAATAATTAACAATTCGAAAACAGTTAAAATTTAATATTAATTGGGTTTAATATTGTAATTGAGAAACCAGGAAACTGGTTTCATCAAAAACTAAATTTATTAAATAATAAAATATATGATAAATAGAAAACTTAAAAACTTTCTGAAAACTAACTGTACGAATATAGATATTTTTTGAGTAATTAAAATAAATATAATTTATTGGTCTTTGAAAGTGATGTATCGAAAAATAAAAGAATTCAGCAGAGGAGCATCTCTTTGAGACGTTTACGTCTTCTAATGTAGTCTCATCAATAATGTAAATCACTTTTAATAGAACGTATAATTTTAAAATATTATACCTATATGCATACATAATAATTTGAATCAGATTGAAGAAATTCTGCCCGACAAATATTCAAAACAGATTCGAAGCTGTTGAAGCTTCAAAGTTGTGTGTTTCGCAATTTATTTTCTCAATTAATAGACATACATAACGGAAATATATATATAGATGCATATAGTTAAATGTAAGACATATCAGTTTCAAATAATAATTATTTAAATATAAAATTTTGAGAAAAAAATAACATTAAAATTTCGCAAAGAACTTTCTTTATAACTTATAGATTTCCAAAATTTTCATGACATTACGTACCGTTTATCAGATTAAGTTGTATGTTTAATAAATATGCATTCTATTTGACTATTGAACAACATTATAACTTTTCAAATTTTACGTGTCACCTATTTATCCGATATCATGAGCCTTCATCGAACTTTAAAAATGCAAAAATTTATAGAATTAATTATTTTTTTTATCAGAACAATAAGTTAATATATGAGGGTGTACTATTCATCCTAATGCATTAGCTTAATTAAATTGATATCTTATAATTGAATCTTTGACTTAAAAAATGGAATTTTATTATATTTCTTTTCAATAAAATATCATATATTGAAATTTATTTTATGATATATGTAAAAAATTAGATTAATGACCATAAAAGTAAATCTACTTTGTCTTAATAAGTTTCCTCTTATGTTCAATATGGTATTTAAATACGACTTAATTGCTTTTTTGTAAATGAGAAATTATGCAAAAATTTTTTACTTTCACAAACATAATATATATATTTGTGAAGGTAAACTATTCAATACATATATATAATTTGCTAATCTAATCGAATTATAAAATTTTACACAAACCCAAATAAATAAATATACATTGGTTTGCGTATAAAGGGCGATTTAGTGATCAGTGCCATAACATGAATAGAGTATCAAAAATGAGTAAAATTTACGAAATTTTCTGAAACTTTAAAATTTTTTATAGAATTTTGCTCAGTTGCTTAATCATTAACTAAAGGCATTTAATGCTAAAAATGCTTTTATTGTACAGGAGAAAAAAAACTATTCATAGTACAATATCCTAAAGGGCTTAATAAAATTTCTACCCTTAAAATTATCGACATTTTTGATTTTTATTAGTTTTTGGTGCTATAACTTTTAATTATTAAAAAAAGCAGTTGACATTTTTAAGAAACGTCATTCACTAAAAAATTTTAAGAATTTTATTAAAATTTATTACACACGTTATTAGCAAAATTTTCATGGTGTTACTTTATTCCAACATGTTGCTATAGCTGTTCAGGGATTGCAAATGAAACAAAATAAGATGGACGAAATTAATTATACCTTGTTGATCAAGATGCTAGCTCGCAAAAAATGCGAATGAGAGAACAAAAGCAGGTCCGTTGGATAGTCCGGCTATCTCAGGGTACTTAATTTGCTGACAGCACTCCCGAAAAAGTTTATTTGTAGAGAAAAGTTCATAAAAAAATCAGCAATAGGGATTTTTCTCTAAAATATATGTATTTCAATAAAAATCTTAAAATCGTTTACCAAAATAACGGTACTTAAATATATCAACTGCTTTTTAGAGTCGCCATTTTGACCAAAAATTAATAATAATTAATAATTTTAGCACTATCAATAAAAATAAAAAGAAATGACAATTTTTTTTAATTGTTACACTTTATTAGGGCCTTAAATGGAAGTGGTTTCTCTGCTATATTTCATGTACCATAACGTACTTTTTAATGTTAATATTTAATGCAGCTGGGTAAAATTTTTTTAAAAAAAATTTCAAACTTTCAAATTATTTCATACGAAATTATCGGATTAGGGAAAACTAAAAAAAAATCGTAAAATTTTGATTTTTGTTTAAGTTCGAATAATTGAATCAAGTTATGTGTTTCTTTATAACTCTGTATAAAAACTGCCTATTTGAAGTTTCTATCTTTTTCAAAAAAGAAGTTACAAGAAAACAACTTGAGCAGGTAGAAATTTCGTGAAAATTCATTAAAATCCCTGTTTTGATAAAAAATATAACTCATTTTTGATCTCTTAAATTATTGTCTATGTTACGTCACTGATTACAAATCACTGTGTATATAATTTTAATGCACGCCTAGAACAATTGAAGTTTTTAAACACAAAAAATCATGATGCATGTACAATGGATCCATATTCCATTCCAGGTATGGATCCATTCAATTGTTTATATACTTCTATAATCAATATATTGCCTATACATAAAATATTATCATTAGTAGAATTGTTTTTTTTTTATTTTTTTATTTTATTTAAGGGAATTTTTTTTTACAGGTTATAAAATATATTTGAAGAAAATTATAGCCATATTTTTCAATATTCAAAAATTAAGTTAATAAAATTACAAGAAAGAATCTAATTTTTTACGATCAAAAAGTAAAATAATAAAAAAATGACGATCTTTAAATGTGTAACTAACAAAATTAAATCAAGTAGTGAAGAAACAAAAAATAATGAAAGTGATAAGAAAATTAAGAAAAAATATAAAATAAAAAATATTTGTAAAAGTTTTAATAATAGAAAAATTGGTAATAATTATAATAGGAATAGAGTTTTTAATACTAATAACAATGAAAATAATAGTAATTTTTCTAATACTGAAAATAATTATAATAATCTTAGCAATATTAATAATAAAAATAATAATATTAATAGTAACAAAAATAACGATTATGATGACGATTGTAATTATGATGTTGACAGTATAAAACTGAGTAATAATCATTCTAAAACTATAAATAATAATAAAAATAATAATGAAAATGGTGTTTATTATAATAATGGAATTACATCAAGATTTTATTATAACAAAATAAAGACTGTTAGATATAATAAAATTTATTTACTAGAAATATTTTCACTTATGACATTTATAGTTGGTGTTACATCACTGCCTCCCATTATAAGAATAGGTAATAAATATTTAATTAAGTTTGTTGATTGTCTTTTTATTTTTTTTCGCAGAAATTTTACGCAAGAGTTAAATTTTGAATTTCGAGAGAAATAGAAAAATCAACATGGCAACTTGGCAAAAATGTTGTACAATTATGAAAAAACAGTTCTTTTCAATTTCACGGACACTACAAAGCTTTTTATAAAGAAGTATAGTAAAATGAAATTTTGGCTCTTTAGTAGAGTAGTGGTTCACTTTGTGTCATTCGAATTCTCTGAAAAGCTCGTCAGTTACTTTCAGTAACAATTAGAACATAAATATATTTCAAAAAATTCCGTGCTTTAGTTCCTTAGATATGAAAAATGTTAAATCGACCTCTAGTGAACTTTAGTTTCCGATCTCTAATGTACCTAAAACATTTATTTTGTTTTAATACCGTGAATTTAAATATTTTATTTTCAGGAAATCGGTTGACTAATTTTTTTATAAAAGTTCAGTTGCTGATCCCTAATTCTTTTCAAAAGTTATGTGGTTTTTCGTGCTCTCAGACGCAGCTTTTGTATAAAATCTCAAGTTAATCTGTTAAGCAATTCCTTACAAATGATCTAATAATATAAAATAGACCCGTAAAAAGTTTTAGTTTCCGAGGTCCTGACGTACCCGAAAAGTTGATCAGTCTGCGACATATTTCGAGTAAACATATGTATATATAAATTTTCATCAAAATCGGTCCAGTCAAACTTGTGTTAACCGTTAACACACACCGATAGACGACCATCTTGCCAAAAGCGGTGTTTTTACGCTTTCTTGCCATAGAGAAGTACTTTTGCACCGAAAATTCGACACGCGTCTAGTGTCGAATTTAGTGCTATCACATTATTTCCCCCATTGGTTGGTAAAAGGAGAAAACTTCCACATAAAAATTAACTCATAATTTTAATTTTCTATTTCTCTTGCGTTCTAAATTTTACAGCCCTATCATGAATTTCGTTGATGCCTCTAAAATTCGGAAAATTACGATTATCATATTATCAATGACGAATTACTAAAATTCTGTTTGGAATATTTGTAATGAAGTAATCATAAACTGTGCTCGTAGTATTCTCAAAAGTTTACGAAAGAAATAATCACTTGTAACAAACAATTTAAAGAGCAACAACACCGCAAAATAATAATGTTATACATTGTATGCAATATATTTTTGATAGTTCTATAAAAACTTTTGCTATTCTGAATTTATAATTCAATATATATTATAAATGTTGAAAGAAATTTTATTGAAATTATGTTTTCTTACCTTAGTTGACTTTCAATCGACTCAGACGTTTTAAAAATGTAAAGTCAAACTGCAAAATTTAGTTAAAAAACAAGTAAAAACGTTTCAGTCGGTATAACCCGATTGAATTATACCCTGCACCTTTCGTTGTTGTATACTCGAATCTGCGAAACCATTCTATAGAAACTTCACGGATATGTCTGACATATAATTGGCACACGACTGCCAAGTTTCATGAATCTGACTTTATTATTTTTCTAAATTTTTAAAATGAGTTTTTAGACTTGTATGGGAGCTACTCGAACCTGTCAAGCAATTCCACCAAAACTTCAGAAATATGTCTGACCTATAATTGGACACACGACTGCCAAGTTTCATGAATCTGACTTTATTATTTTTCCAAATATTTAAAATTAGCTTTTGGAGTTGTACGAGTATGGCAAGTACCCGAGCCTGTCAAGTAATTCCACTAAAATTTCGCAAATATATCTGATCTGTAATTGGACACACAACTGCCAAGTTATATGAATCTGACTTTATTATTTTTCCAAATATTTAAAATAAGCTTTTAGGCTTGTATGAGAGCTACTCGAACCTGTCAAGCAATTCAACCAAAACTTCAGAAATATATATGACCTATAACTCGACACTCAACTGCCAAGTTTCATGAATCTGACTTTATTATTTTTCCAAATATTTAAAATTAGCTTCTGGAGTTGTATGGCACGTACCCGAACCTGTCAAGAAATTCGACTAAAACTTCAAAAATATATCTGACCTATAATTGGACTATAATTGGACGGACATGTCTAAATCGACGCAGAATTTGACGCTGACCAAGAATATATATATATATGTCCATACCGGAGAAGACTGCTTCAAGTAGTTACAAACTCCATACCAAAGTTAATATACCCTTCACGAAGTGCAGGGTATAAAAATATTCTTTTGCATGAATATTTTGAAAAATATCCTTTTGATATGAAAGTTGTTTACTGAAATAGCAGCCAAAAAATATAAACAAACTTTTGATTGTTGAAATAAAATACTGACTTTAATCCTCCGAAAAATGATACTGCTATAGGTGATTCATAATTTCTACGAAAGGAATTTGTGATCATGCAAAAGTCTACATCGTAGTTATGTTCGTAATTTGTTGGATGCTACAAATAGAATTCATGATAGAGCTGTAAATAATTTATCACTTATCTCAAAAACTAGATATAATTTGGGTTATATAATATTTTAAGTATTTTATATAATATTTTAGGTGCTATTTTTACAGAAGATCAAAAGGATAGCAGTACAGAATTAGCTTTTAAATATGCAGTTTATAGAATAAATAAAGATAAGCAAATTTTACCTAAAACGCAGCTAGTATATGATATTGAATATGTTCCTCGTGATGATTCATTTCGTACATCGAAAAAGGTTTGCCGTCAAATGGAGTCTGGTATACAAGCAATATTTGGTCCATCAGATCCTCTTTTAGGTGCCCATATACAATCAATATGTGAAGCATTGGATATACCTCATGTTGAGGCTAGAATTGATTTAGATTCAAATTTAAAAGAATTTTCAATAAATTTATATCCGTCCCAACATTATATGAATATAGCCTATCGTGATTTAATGATATTTTTAAATTGGACAAAGGTTGCTATTATATATGAGGAAGATTTTGGTATACAAACAAATATTTTATAATATAAAATGGAATTTTTATATAATGACAATACACAAACAGAAAAACTTTGTTCATGAAACAAAGTTTTATTTTTTTTATTTATTTATTCCGTTATCAAAAAAAAATCACACATGAAGAAGATTGCTCATAATACAACCGAAATTTTCATTATATGTGGAGTATTTGTTACATTAAAATTCCATATTGTATAATTATTGAAATATATGTTATACATATATATATTTATCATATTATTTATATAAGTTTTGATGTATTTGTATGTAATATAGGATTATTTAAACAACAAGAGCTAATGAGAGCGACACCAGCATCTCGAACCGAAATGTATATTAGACAAGCAACACCAGATACTTATCGTAAAGTTTTACGTGAAATAAGACAGAAAGAAATTTATAAACTTATTATTGATACAAATCCAGGAAATATAAATGCATTTTTTAGAGCTGTGAGTATCCATCTGTAATGATATGATAATAGTAGTACTTATATTTTATTAAGAATTTATTATTTTGGAATTGTTATAGATTTAATAGTTAATAGATTACCAGTAGAGCCTGTCTTTGCTATTTTTTTTGACGACTTTTCCTATCTCCCCATTTTGCGTAAATTTATAATTTGGGAGTTATTATAAGAATATTACAATATTGGAAAGAAATTTAAAACTGAAATAAAACTATTGCTTATTGAAAGTTGAAAAAAATAAAGTTGGGTCAAAACAATGCTTGCATTGTAGCACTCTTCCCTTTACAAGTGAAAATACTGTTTTTAAATACAGTCTATGTATACCTACCAAACTATTAAAAATATTTTCATTCACATACGAAACTATTTCTAGGATTGCATATATTTAGAATGAACGATTTATGCAGTCTTTGAAATAAAATAAAAATTAATTTAAAGTGGGCTTAACATAATGCTCGATTTTAAGGGTTAATTGCGAGAGCTAAAAAAAATTGTTATATTTTTTAATGTCATGAAAGAAAAACGACATCAAAATTTGGAAAAAACGGATTTTAGATAACGGTAAATTTGAACGACCATTTTGTTTCTTAAAGTTAACCTATAGTATGCCGTAATAGAAGAAGCAGTCCACTGCCTTTCTACGGTTGCAAAATTTGAAAAATGCTTATGGTTTAACTGCAATAAATAGTTTAAAAATGGCAATTTTAAGGTTTTGGAGGAGTATAACTTGTAAAGCGTGAGAGATCGGTAAAAATTTTCTCGTACGGAAATAAGTTTTTAGTAAAGATTGATGTACAAATAAAATTGCAGCTGTCTATCTTCAAGGGTGCAGAAAATTTATACACATGTCCTTGGACGGACAATCGGACAGAACACTTTTTTTCAAAATTTTTTTTTGGAAAAGTGGTAAAAACAAACAATTCGTATTGAAATTAAATTTTTATTGAATTGCATTTTGTACTGAAATGTATTTTTTTAATTACATGGTACGCGACGTGAATTAACCCTACGTTTAATTCTACTTTTTTTGAAATTGAATATGGTGACTAAACAATGTGGGCGTTGATGGTAACTGGTGAACAGAGAAGCACGCTTTTGTTTCTGTGCTGTGCTAAAACAATGCCTAAACGCAATAAAAATAAGAACAAAAGTAAATCAAAAGAAGATTATAAAAAAGAAAATACTTTATTAAAAAATAAAATTAATAATTTAGAACAATAACTTGCAAAATTTTTGCATCAAAATGGCAGCTAATTTAAAAATGAAAATAGTATTCTGAAAATCGAGTATCGAATATACAAAATCTAAACGGAAAATCTATTCTTCTACATTTGAGAAAATTGATCGTCATTTTGTTAACAAGAATAAAGAAACTGAAAAAAATGAATCCCAAAATATTGAAGGAGAAATTTGTACACAAAATTATGTTGCTGAAAGGAAATTTTTTTTCAATATTGGCAAAAGAGATAATAGAAAGAATAGCAATATGGATATTTTATAATCATTAAAAATGCAAAATCATGACATGAACAAAAAATAAAAAATCTGATGTGGTCAGCACATAACCGACCGCATTGTATATTGTCTTGTTAAGTGAAAGTGCTACGGAATATTATAAAAGTGTCTGTTAAATATTTCTTTCCAATTTTCGAGGCATTAGTAAGTTATAGTTAACATACCTGGAAAAATGTAAATTTGGCTGTTAGTAGAGTTTCGCTTTGTGCTACCCGTATTCCCTGAAATGCTCGCCAGTTAGTACCTAAGGTAACAACCAGAACTCAAATATCAAATTTCAAGAAATTCCATCAATTCGTTCCGTAGATATGGTGAAAAATGCAAAATCGGCTCGCAAATCAGTTTTCGAGCCCTGATCTTTCCAAAAATTTATATGTTCATTGTTTTAATACGGGGAGTTCAAATATCAAATTTCAATGAAATCGGTTCTCTTTATATACAAAAAAATGTGTATTCGGCCCGTAGTAAACGTCTAGTTGCTGATGCCTGATTTCTTCTAAAAGTTGGGAGTTTTCGCGGACGGTCGAGCTTATATATGAAATTTCAAGTAAATCAGTTGAATATATTATACAAAATAGTAAAAAATGTAAAATAGGGCCATATATCCCAAAAGTTGATCAATCCGTGCCACAGCCGAAATAAACTTACACGTAAAATTTCATCAAAATCGGTTCAGCCGAACTTGAGATACACCCGTGCATACACAGACCGACGGACCGACTGGTTGCTAAAAATTGTTTACTTACACTCCCCTACTATGGAGAAGTGCATTCCCACCGAAAACTCGTTATGCAAAATTTGTCGCCATCACATGACCTACCTATTGTATACACAATACGGTCGTTAATAAGAAAGCAGTAATAAGAAATAAAAGGTATATGAATACAACTAATAATCTTGATACATATAGTAATGTTAAAACTAATAATTATGTTGAGTTAAATGTAATTGCTCTAGTCTTTTAGCGAATGATATAAATTTAAATAAGGAAAATTCAAACGATAATGATGTAAATATTCTAAAGATATATTAACAAATGTTAATATAATAAATAATTAAATTTGGGTCAAACCAATGGTTTGTATTGTAGCACTTTTCCCTTCAACAAGTGAAAATTATGCTTTTATACAGTGTTTGTACTATCACACTATTAAAATTATTTTCATTCATATACAAAACTCTTTCTAGGATTGCATATATTTAGGATAATTCATATATGCAGTCTTTGAAATAAAGCAAAAATTAATATAAAGACGGGTTAACATAATACTCGATTAACTAGGGTTCGAATTGCATTTTGTACTGAAATGTATTTTTTTAATTACATGGTACGCGACGTGAATTAACCCTACGTTTAATTCTACTTTTTTTGAAATTGAATATGGTGACTAAACAATGTGGGCGTTGATGGTAACTGGTGAACAGAGAAGCACGCTTTTGTTTCTGTGCTGTGCTAAAACAATGCCTAAACGCAATAAAAATAAGAACAAAAGTAAATCAAAAGAAGATTATAAAAACGAAAATACTTTATTAAAAATTTTGGAAGTTACCTCAATATTAACTGCAATGATTTCAAGATCACCGGAATCTTGAATGCCAATAATAATGGCTGATAACGAGTTTTTAATAGCGATTAATACCCCACTTTGCTTTGGTGTGTCCCTGTAAGAAAAGTCCATAAATAAAGGGTTAAATAATTCTAAGAAAATAAAGACTTAAATAATTCAAGATTAAAATGGAGGGGGACAACCAAGTTTCCATTAGAGTATAAGTAACACATTCAAGAAGAGAAGATTTGAACAGAACGGTGTTAGTTTTAGTCCTTAGTCCACGAACATTTTGATAGTACAGAGGAAGTTGTTTCACAGTCTTTGTCATACCATGTCCAAAACCAGTTAATTGGACCAGGTAATTGTTGTTACGAAAGCTACTTGAACCATCTAGACGATTGGGCTGAGATCGACGGAAGCAAAAACTTGTTGTTTGCTTCTCTCATCCTCTGTGGATAATCAATCCATTTGCATTTTATATGGTCTCTAAGTGTTTGTAAATCTTTATCAACAGCGGCGGCAGATATATTATGATAAAAGTGTCATGAAATCTTTTGAATAAGTTATATAAAATAGTATAGTCAAAGGGCCACCTCACTTGCAATAAAAACCTTAACACCTAACTTAGTTTTACCATCGGGGCTGACATTTTTCGCGAAGATATGCCAAGTAAAATTTAACATTCTCATATACAGTCTGATCTCTGAAGCGAGATAGTACATAAGTACTATCACCATCTTCAACGGATCTTTTGGTCATACGAACGATCGGAGGAGTCTGCGGATGTACAAAGTTAGAAGGCGGATGTGTTTGCAATAA